ATCTTAAAAATATGTGCAAAAGATAGAAGAAAGGCATCAAAATGGTTCACTACAAAAAAATCAACTAAACACAAAAGAAGTCGGTATTGGGGGAAATGAGGAACAAAGTATGACATATAGAAGACAAATAGAATGGTAGAAGTATAAGTCTTTCCTTATTAGTAATTACTTTAAATATAAATGGATTAAATTATCTAATCAAAAGGCAGAGATTGGTAGAATGGGTAAGAAAACATGATCCAACTATATCCTGTCTGCAGGAGGCCCACTGTAGATCCAAAGGCACAAATAGGTTGCAAGAGAAAGGCCAGAAAAAATATTCCATGCAAATAGTAACCAACGGAGAGATGGGGTGGCTATATTATTATCAGACAAAAGGGTCAATTCATCAAGCAGATATAACAGTTATAAATATCTGTGAACCTAACAACAGAGCCCCCAAATATGTGAAGCAAACATTGACAGAATTGAAGAGAGAAACAGACAGTTCTATAGTAATACCTGGAGACTTCATTATATCAGTTTCAGTAATGGATAGAACTTCTAGACAGAAGATCAGTAAGGAGATACACTTTAACAACACTGTGAACCAACTAAACCTAACAGACATACTCAAAACACTCCACTGAACAACAACAGAATATACATTCTTCAATCTCCACGATAGACCATATGTTAGGTTACAAACAAGTTTCAATAAATTTAAGAAGACTATAATCATACAAAGTATCTCTTTGACCACAGTTGAATGAAACTGGAAATCAGTAACAGAAAGAAAATTGGAATATTCACAAATACATGAAAAATAAAGTACACACTATTAAACAACCAGTGGGTTAAAGAAGAAATCACAGGAGAAATTAGAAAATACTTAGAGATTAATAAAAATTAAAACACAGCATACCGAAATTTATGAGATGCAGTCAAGCCGGTGCTCAGAGGCAAATTTATTGCTGTAAACACTTAACATTACAAAAGAAGAAATACTTTAAATTAATAACAAAACTTTAAACCTCAAGGAACTAGAAAAGAAGAGCAAACTAAACTGAAAGCTAGCAGAAAGAAGGAAATAATAAAGATAAGAGCATAGATAAATGAAATAGAGAATAGATGAACAAAAGAGAAAATTAATGAAACTAAAAGTCAGTTGTTTGAAAAGATCAGTAACATTGACAAACCTTTATGTAGACTGACAAAGAAAGAAGATACAAATATCTAAAATCAGAATTGAATATGGAGACATTATTATTGATCATACAGAAATTAAGAGAATTATAAGAGAATATTATGAACAAGCTGTGCTAACAAATTAGATAATCTAGATGAAATGGATAAATTCCTAGAAACATACAAATTACCTAAATTGACTCAGAAGAAATAAAAAATCTCAAAAGACCTATAACAAGTGAAGAGATTGAATCAGTAATCAAAAACTCCCTAAGAAAGAAAAGTCAAGGACCAGATGTCTTCACTGGTGAGTTCTACCTAACTGTTAAAGACGATTTAATACCTGTCCTTCTCAAACTCTTCCAAAAATAGAAGAGGGAACACTTCCTAGTTCATTCTGTGGGGCCAACATTACCCTGATACCAAAGGCATATAGAGACACCACAAGAAAAGAAAATCACAGACCAATATCCCTTATGAATATAGATGCAAAAACCCTCAACAAAATACTAGCAAACCAAATCCAACAACATACTGAAAGTTTTGGATAATTGGATAAATAAAAATGAAAAAATGGCTATTTCATTTTTTAAGCATGAAAGTAGCTATTTGTAAGCAATTTATTGTGCAAGGGTATCAAAGGTGGGTATTATAGTATTCATACCCTGACCAAGTAGGATTTATCCCAGGAATGCAAGGGTAGTTCAACATTAGAAAATTGATCAATGTAATACACCATATTAATAGAAAGGAAAAACCACATGATCATCTCAACTGAAACAGAAAAGGCACTTTGCCAAAACGAACACCTTTGCATGATAAAAGCACTCAACAAACTCGGAAAAAGGAAAATTCCTCAACAAGATGATAAAAGGGCATTTACAAAAAACCCACAGCTAATATCATGGTCTGTGGTCAAAGACTGAAGTTCAGGAACAAGACAAGGATGCCCCCTTTCGTTACTGCTATTCAACTTTGTACTAGAAGTTCTAGCCAGAGCAATTAGGCAAGAAAAATATAAAAGGCATCCAGATTGGAAAGGAAGAAGTAAAACCATCTCTATTCACACATGACATGATCCTATATATAGAAAATTCCAAAGAAGCCACAAGAAAGCTACTAGAGCTAATAAACAAATTCAGCAAAGTTACAGGATACAAGATCAACATACAAACATCAGTTATGTTTCTATACACCAGCAATGAACAATCTGAAAAGGAAATTAAAACACAATTACATTTATAAGATCATCTAAAAGAATAAAATACCTAAGAATAAATTTATCCAAAGGGGTGAAAGATTTGTACACTGAAAACGGTTAAACATTGGTGAAGGAAACCTAAATAAATGGAAAGACATCTCATGCTTATGGACTGGAAGACTTAAAATACTACCAAAGTGATTTACAGATTCAATTTAAAATTCTACCAGCCTTTTTGGTAGAAATGGAAAAGCTGATCCTCAAATTCACATGGCCTTGAACAGCCAAAAGAACTTTGAAAAAGAATAGTAAAGTTGGAGAACTCACACTTCCTTATTTCAAAACATACTACAAACCTACAGTAATGTGGTGTTCATATAAAGATAGACATATAGACCAACAGAACAGAATTGAGAGGCCAGAAATAAGCTCATACATCTGTAGCCAGTTGATTTTTGACAAGGGCATCAAGTCCATTCAATGGAGAAGAATAATTTTTCCAGAAAATTATGCTAGGACAACTAGATTTCCACATGCAGAATGAATTGGACCCCTACCTCATACCATATATGAAAATTAAATCAATGGCCTAAATATACATGCTAAAACTATAAAACTCTTTGAAGAAAATACACAAGTAAATCTTCAGGACTTTATTTTCAACACTGAAGTCTTAGTTACAACACCCAAAGCACAAGCAACAACAACAACAAAATAATAAATTGTACTTTATCAAAACTAAAAATTTTGTTCATCAAAGGACATTGTCAAGAAAGTGAAAAGACAACCTACAGAATGGGGAAATCATATATCTGATAAGGGTTTAATATCTAGGAGATAAATATATATATAAAACAAAATCCATTGCCGTCGAGTTGATTCTGACTCTATAGGACAGAGTAGAACTGCCCCGTAGGGTTTCCAAGGAGAGGCTGGTATATTCAAACTGCCAACCTTTTGGTTAGCAGCTGTAGATCTTAACCACTGCTCCAGGGGCCCCCATTTATATGTATATGTGTGCATGTGTGTGTGTGTGCGTGTATGTGTGTGTATATATGTGTGTATGTATGCATATATTTTTTAAAAACTCCCATAACTCAACAACAGAAACACAAACAACCCAATCAAAAAATGAGCAAAGGACTTGAATAGACATTTCACAAAAGAAGATATACAAATGGCCCACAAGCACATGAAGATGCTCAACATCGTTGGTCACTAGGGAAATGCAAATCAAGACCACAATGAGATATCCCACTGGATGTCTATTATCAGAAAAATGGAAAATAATCAGTATTGGTGAGTATGTGGAGGAATTGTAACCCTCATCCATTGCTGGTGGGATTATAAAATGACACAGCCATCGTGGAAAATAGTTTGGTGATTCCTCACAAAATGAAAACACAACATACCAAAACTTAGAGGATGCAGTCAACATCCCACCCATTGCCATTGAGTTGATTTGGCTGTTAACCAAAAGGTTGGTGGTTCGAACCCATCAGCCACTTCTCTGGAGAAAGATGTGGCAGTCTGCTTCTGTAAAGATTATAGCTTTAGAAACCTCGTGGTGCAGTTCTGCTCTGTCCTATAGGGTCATTATGAGTCAGATGAGTTGGCAGTCAGCGTATGACCCAGCAATTCCACTACCCAAAAGAACTGACAGGAACACAGATACTTGTACAAAAATGTTCATTGCAGCAGCATTCAAAGTAGCCAAGAGGTGGAAACAACCTAAATGTCCATCAACAGATGAATGCTAAAGAAAATGTGGTAAATGCATACAATGGAATATTATTCAGCCATAAAAAGGAAGGAAGTTCTGAAAAATGCTACCATATGGATAAATCTTTAAAACATTATGCTGAGTGAAATAAGCTAGACACAAAAAGACAAATAATGTATGATCTCACTTACGTAAAATATCTAGAATAGGCAAATGCATAGAGACAAAAGTAGAATAATGGTTACTATAGGCTGGAGGAATAGGGAAAATAAAAATAATATAAAGGCTAGATAATAAGAGTCATCACAGGCATAAGAAGAAAGGTCCACGCTCTGGAATCATACAAACCTATGTTCATTTCCCAGCTCTGTTGCTTAGTTTGTGCCTTCAGATACGTTAAACCTCTGAATACCAGTAAAACATACCTCATAGGATTGTTGAGAATTATAAAACATTGTGCATAAAATTGAGATTAAATGATTGCTATTAATCTTTAGTTTAAGAAACTTTAATTAATACTTCTCTTGATGGAACTTAATTTGGCATTTGTCTAGGAGTTTACTGCCAATAGGTTTATGTCCCTGGCTTCTCTGGTTGCCAGAGATGTTGTCAGGCACATTTGCCATTTGACAAAGGACCATGGTTGTGCTATAATGAGACGATACCAAGTCTAAGAGTAGAGTTTTCCCTTCCTTCATCTGCACTTTTGATTTGCCTTCTTGGTTCAAATTAACGATTATATGTTGGGCCCCTACTGTGAGCAGGGCTCGGTGAGTGGATTCAGAGTTGATCAGGAGAAGGTGATTCAGAGTTGATCAGGAGAAGGTTTCTGTCCTCAAAGAGCTTACAATAAGAGTTGTGAGAAATTATACATGCATGCTGAGGAATAAAAGTTGCCTGTCTTTATAGGAACTGCCACTTTTACCATCCAGGAAAAAGCTGGTGGAGCCAAAGCGACAATACAGAATGCTGTGCAGTCTCCAGTTATCTTCCAAAAGGGTAAGTGATAGAAAAAGGAATAGAAAGTTCTTGGAGTTAAGAGTAAATTTTTTTTAAATCATAAATAACTCTTAGAAATGTAAACGTAGAATTCTGAATGAAGGGTATGGCCTTGGGGTATAGTGTTTCCAAGAAGAGGCTTTGGAGTTAGTGTGTTTGTAATTGGTACACCACTTATTCTGTAGCCTTGGGCAAATTCCTAACCCATTTATATAAGCCTCAGTTTTTTTACTTGTAAAATAAGGATTGTAATAGAACATATGTAAGGGGCTTAGCGCAGTGCTCAGCATAAACATGGAGCCCTGGTGGCACAGTGGTTAAGAGCTCAGCTGCTAACCAAAAGGTCAGCAGTTTGAATCCACCAGCTGCTCCTTGGAAACCATATGGTGCAGTTCTGCTCTGTCCTGTAGGGTCACTATGAGTCAGAATTGGCTTGACAGTAACATTTTTTTTTTAAAGCATAAACATAAGTACTCAGTAAGATGCTGTGATCACATAGTCATAGAGCACACAGACCCATAAGTTTGAGGATTTTAGGCCTGATTTTGTCCCACCTTTGGATGTTTGCCTAAATTAGGTAATCAACTAGAGAAAGGGAAATTAAACCTAATGATGTTAATTCCTAATATCTCCAATTTCCCTATGTTTCTCTTCACAATTTAAAAAAGTACTTCTACATTCATTCCCCCATTACCTCTCTATAAGAACCCTGGTAGATAGGCAGGGAAACTATTATCCCCATTCTACAGCTGAGGAAACTGAGGCTTAGAGAAGTTAAGTGACTTGCCAGATAGTCTTAGAACAATGAAAATAATAGGCAACAGTTTTAGACAGGCAAAGAGCCAAGAATTGTGTTAACACATACATACATTAGCTTGTTAATCTTCATATCAATCCAGTGAGGTCTGTGCAGTTACCCCATTTACAGAAAATAACTAAATTTGGTACAAATAATGAAGAACATAATGCTGATTTATATGTACTATAAAAATGGGAAATATGAATTAATTAGTCTACTTCTATTATGCCTCTGTCTCCACTGCTACTTCCTTTATTTGCAGATTCATCTGCCAGTTTACCACATCTCTCTTCAGCTGTGTCTAATTTGCTGTTTAACCCATCTATCAAGTTTTTAGTGTCAGTGACTTTATTTTCTAAAAGCTATATTTGATTCTTTTTCTATTCTTTTCTTTTCCCCATGTGTGCATTAACACCCAACACCCTAGCTATTAGGATCAGTTTGAATCCTAGAAGCATTTGTTTCTATGCTTCTAATTTTATAATACCTGACGCATCTGTCAGATTGTCCTGCTGTGGGGGCTTCCATGTTGCTGTGATGCTGGAAGCTATGCTACCAGTATTCAAATACTAGAGCAGGGTCACCATGGCAGACAGATTTCACCTGAGCTTCCAGACTAAGACAGACTAGGAAGAAGGACCTTGTGGTCTACTTCTGAAAAGAATTAGCCAGTGAAAACCTTATGAATAGCAGTGGAATATTGTCTGATATAGTGCTGGAAGATGAGCCCCTCAGGTTGGAAGGCACTCAAAAGATGACTGGGCAAGAGCTGCCTCCTCAAAGTAGAGTCAACCTAAATGACGTGGATGGAGTCAAGCTTTCGGGACCTTCATTTGCTGATGTGGTACAAATCAAAATGAGGAGAAAAAACTGCAAAAATCCATTAATAATCTAAATGTGGAATGTACCAAGTATGAATCTAGGAAAATTGGAAGTTGTCAAAAATGAAATGGAATGCATTAACATCGATATCCTAGGCATAAGTGAGCTGAAATGGACTGGTATAGGCAATTGGACAATCATGTGGTCTCCTATGCCGGGAATGACAAAAGAGGATTGGTTTCGCATTCGTTGTCAAAAAGAACATTTCAAGATCTATCTTGAAGTACAACACTGTCAAGTGATAGGATAATATCCGTACAGCTACAAGGAAGACCAGTTAATAGAACTATTATTCAAATTTATGCATCAACCACTAAGGCCAAATGAAGACATTGAAGATTTTTACCAACTTCTGCAGTCTGAAATTGATCAAACGTGCAGTCAGGATGCATTGATAATTACCAGTGATTGGAATGCAAAAGTTGGAAACAAAGAAGGATAGGTAGTTTGAAAATATGGCCTTGGTGATAGAAATGATGCCAGAGATCGCATGATAGAATTTTGCAAGACCAACAACTTCTTCATTGCAGATACCTTTTTTCACCAACATAAGTGGAGACTATACCCGTGGACCTTGCCAGGTAGAATATACAAGAATCAAAATGACTACATCTTTGGAAAGAGATGATGGAAAAGCTCACTATCATCAGTCAGAACAAGGCCAGGGACCGACTGCAGAACAGAGCTTCAGTTGCTCACATGCAAGCTCAAGTTGAAGCTGAAGAAAATTACAACAAGTCCATGAGAGCCAAATTATGCCCATGAGTATGTCCTACCTGAATTTAGAGACCATCTGAAGAATAGATTTGACCTGTTGAACACTAATGACCGAAGAACAGACAAGTTGTGGAATGACACCAAGGACATCATACATGAAGCCACAGGTCATTAAAAAGACAGAAAAGAAAGAAAAGACCAAAATGGATGTTAGAAGAGACTCTGAAACTTGCTCTTGAACATAGAGCAGTTAAAGGAAATGGAAGAAATGATGAAGTACAAGAGCTGAACAGAAGATTTCAAAGGGTGGCTTGAGAAGACAAAGTATTATAATGAAATGTGCAAAGACCTGGAGTTAGAAAACCAAAAGAGAACACATGCTCAGCATTTCTCAAATAACTGAAGAAAAAATTCAAGCTTTGAATTGCAGTATTGAAGGATTCTACAGGGAAAATGTTAAATGACACAGGAAGCATCAAAAGAAGATGGAAGAAATACACAGAGTCACTGTACCAGAAAGAATTGTCAGTGTTCAGCAATTTCAGGAGGTAGCATATGATCAGGAACTGTTGGTACTGAAGAAGGAGTTCCAAGCCGCACTGAAGGCATTGGCAAAAAACAAGGCTCCAGAAATTGAGAGAATACCAACTGAGATGTTTCAACAAATGGGTGCAGCGCTGGAAGTGCTCAATTGTCTATACCAAGAAATTTGGAAGACAGCTACCTAGCCAACTGACTAGAAGAGATCCATATTTATGCATATTCCAAAGAAAGGTGATCCAACAGAATGTGGAAATTACCGAACAATATCGTTAATATCACACACAAGTAAAATTTTGCTGAAAAGCATTCAAAATCAGCTGCAGCAGTATATTGACAGGGAACTGCCAGAAATTCAAGCTGGATTCAGAAGAGGACGTGGAAGCAGGGATATCATTGCTGATGTCAGATGGACCCTGGCTGAAAGCAGAGAATATCAGAAAGATGTTTGCCTGTGTTTTCTTGACTATTCAAAGGCATCCGACTGTGTGGATCATAACAAATTATGGATAACATTTTGAAGAATGGGAATTCCAGAACACTTAATTGTGCTCATGAGGAACCTGTACATAGACCAAGAGGCCGTCGTTTGAACAGAACAAAGGGATACTGCGTTGTTTAAAGTCAGGAAGTGCATCAAGGTTGTATTCTTTCACCATACATACTGAGTTTGTATGCTAAGCAAATAATCTGAGAAGCTGGACTATATGAAGAAGAATGGTACATCAGGATTAGAGGAAGACTTATTAACAACCTCTGTTATGCAGATGACACAACCTTGTGTGCTGAAAGTGAAGAGGACTTGAAGCACTTACTGATGAAGATCAAAGACCACAGCCTTCAGTACGGATTACACCTCAACATAATGAAAACAATAATCCTCATAACTGGACCAGTAAGCAACATCATGATAAATGGAGAAAAGATTGAAGTCATCCAAGATTTCATTTTACTTGGATCCTCAATCAACACCCTTGGGAGCAGCACTCAAGAAATCAAATGACGCATTGCATTAGGCAAACCTGCAAAAGACTTCTTTAAAGTGTTAAAAAGCAAAGATTTCACCTTGAAGACTAAGGTGCGCCTGACCCCAAGCCATGGTGTTTTCAATAACCTCATATGTATGCGAAAGCTGGACAATGAATAAGAAAGCCTGAAGAATTGATGCCTTTGTGTTGTGGTGTTGGCGAAGAATGTTGACTATACCATGGACTGCCAAAAGAATGAACAACTCTATCTTGGAAGATGTACAGCCAGAATGCTCCTTAGAAGCAAGGATGGCGAGACTACGTCTCACATAATTTGGACATGTTATCAGGAAAGATCAGTCCCTGGAGAAGGACATCATGCTTGGTAAAGTAGAGGGTCAGTGAAAGAGAGGAAGACCTTCAACAAGATGGATTGACACAGTGGCTGCAACAATGGGCTCAAGCATAACAATGATTGTGAAGATGGCACAGGAGGACCGGGCAGTGTTTCATTCTGTTGTAGCTATGAGTCGGAACCCACTTGACAGCATCTAACAACAATAATTTTATAATCTTAGTAGTAGATAAACCTATAGATGGTTGTCTTAAGCTGGGTTCTCTAGAGAAGCAAAACCAGTAATACGTATAAATGTATGTCTACAGAGAGATATTTATATTGAGGAAATGGCTCACGTGGTTTTAGAGCCTGTAACCTACCAAGTCCGAGGGTCAGGAAAGAGGCTTCTTCTGATTCATGTAGCCACAGGGGCTGGCAAACCCAAGATTGGCAGGCCGGAGAGCAGGGCTGTTGCTCACAGGCTGTGAAGATCCCAAGATCAGCAGGCAAGACTGCGGGTAAGCTGCTTGCTCAAGTCCCAAGAACCAGAGGTCAGACGAACAGGAGCCAGCTGAAGGATCCAGAACAAGGAGAAGCTCCTGAGCCTTGCCAGAATGTCCCCCTGACACTCGATGCAGGCTACATGCCCGAGGAAACTCCCCTTCAAATGATTGGCTACTCACAGCAGATCCCATCGTGGGGGTGATCACGTATCAGCTCTCAACAGGGGAGTGATCACAACGTTATATAACTGCCAAAACACTGAGAATCATGGCCCAGTCAAGTTGACACACAATCTTAACCATCACAGTGGTTATCCTAGTTTTTTTTTCTTTCAAAGTCCCATTTTAATCTTTTATAAAATGTTTTCTAGTTCATCGGATACTCATTAGCTTTTTTTTCTAAGAAATATCTAGCAATGTCTAGTTCAACAGATAAAATGCCCCAAAACACAATGTTGCTCCCTATAAGCAGCTGAAAATATGCACATTTATATTGTATTGTTTATGATGGCTCCAAAGATCCAGTGTTTGATTCTTGAAGTCAGTTATGATCTAGCATGAGGTCTTGCCCATTAAAAACACTAGGTATTTGTTTCATTGTCCGGTGGTATCCCTGCCTCTGAGAGGAAAACAATGAGTATGACTCTAGCTTTCTAGCTTGGGTGGTTTTCTAGACTGTGGTCGACCAGCTGCTACAGAGAAGAAACTGGATTTTCTTTTAGGAGTGGCAGACATAATGGATTCATTTTTATAGTTGAGTTTCAGATTATTCAGGCTAGATTCTGTAGACACTGTTTGGCAATATGTTTTAAAGAAACCGAGTGGCAGTATCCACTGTCCCCACTGTCCTACCAGAAAAAAGATTGCTTCCTCTCTGAGGGAAGCCCATGAACTTGCTGGCCTGGTTTTCACTGTGGGGTTTCCTTTTGATATATCACTTAGCTTTCACCTTAGAAAGCTTTCATTGTCCGCAACTGGGGCATCTTTGCACATGTTCAGTTTCATAGAATTTTTTTCATATTGTATTTTTATCTCAAGATTGGATATCCTAAATAAATCCTAGATAAATGCACTTTGAGCTGAAGAGAAGGAAATTACAAAGCCATCCCCAGGTGAAAAAAGGTAAGAGAAAGCTAGTGATAACCTCTCAAAGTTTGTAGATACCCCAGAGGTGAAGGTTTATCCTAAAATGTAGCACTGTTAACCTTGATTTCAACAGACTTGGTGATGGTTTGATTTTGTTATTCATTCTAGATGCCAATAGTTATGTTCATTTGACAAGAGTGTTGAAGTCTAGATACCCAATTAATTTTAGCAGAGACGGGGTTGGTGTTTACAGCTTCTGTTAATCTCTTCTCATATCCTGAATATTTGTAGGAACAACTAACTTTAGCACCCAGCCTCTATTTGTTTCCGTCTACTTTGGAGAGTCTGCTTACCTCTGTGGTTAAAGCGTTGCTTAGCCACCTGTTGGTTTCTCTTTTTTATCTTTCAGTCTCACTTTTTGTCTGTTTTAACGGCTGTTTTCTTTTGTACCACGGTGTTTGATCATGTGTGCATTTCCATTATCCACTCATAAGTTTTTTTCAAAATTGTTTCTTAGTAATATTTACTGAAATCATTATTTTAACATGTAGCTTTTTAGTGGCATCTCAAAGTACTCAATGGTGTCTTTAAACAGCAGAAAAAAGAGTCAAACTTTTTTCAACTACAGCCCAGTTCCCATGTGGATGCTAAAGTAGCAACCAGGGGTGCTACCTAATGATATTAACTTCATTTCCCTTTTAGACTCCTGGGGCTTGTCAAAAGAAAAGTCCTTAAGCCCTCTTGTTGTACCACCATCCCCTACCCCTTTGGCACTAATCCAAAAAGCAGGGTTTTGCAAAGTTGCTGCCTGGGAGATCCAAATAAATAGGCCTATTTCTCACAGATATGATGATCCCCCAGGGGCCTCTGAGTGCTATTCTCCTTTTACCCCCAAAGAATAGAAAGTTAACACATTAGCTCAGATTCTGGAGGTAGACCATCTCCATCATCTTTGGCAAATTACTTAACCTCTCTAAACCACATTTTCCTCATTTTCAAAATGGGGATAATATTACTTTCCCCATAGGACTGCCATGAAGAGTATTCATTCAGCATTAACCCATTTGGCTCCTACTACATACCCGGCACTGTTAGTCATGAATAACACAAACAACAGCATGAACAACACAAAACAACAGCATGTAAATAAAATAAGGGAGGGAATGGCCAGATTAGGGGGAGCTACTTTAGACAGGGTATTTAAAGAAGTTCTCTTTTAGAAGGTGACATGGGAGTGTAGATCCTGAATGATGAAAAGGAGTTTTCATGTAAAGATAAGGCAGAACAGTTCCAGGCAGAAGGAACAGCAAGTTCTATTATATAGAAACAAACCTGGTATGATGGGCAGAAAAGATCAGTATGGGAAAGTGGCCAGAGATATGGCTGGAGAGAGAGGCTAAATACTGTACTTATTCAGTCTGTGTACTGAGCAAGTAATCTGAGAAGCTGGACTATAGGAAGAAGAATGTAGCATCAGGAATGGAGAAAGACTTATTAAGAACTGGCGATATGCAGATGACATGACCTTGCTTGTGGAAAGTGAAGAAGACTTGAAGCACTTACTGATGCAGATCAGAGACTACAGCCTTCAATATGGATTACACCTTAATATAAAGAAAACAAAAATCCTTACAACTGGGCCAATAAACAACATCATGATAAAGGAGAAAATATTGAAGTTGTCAAGGATCTCATTTTACTTGGATCCACAGTCAGTGCCCTTGGAAGCTGCAGTCAAGAAATCAAACGACGTATTGCATTGAGCAAATCTGCTGCAAAAGACCCTTTAAAGTGTTAAAAAGCAAAGATGTCACTTTGAGGACTAAGGTGCACCTACTCAATCCGTGGTATTTTCAGTTACCTCATATGCATGCAAAAGCTGGACAAAGAATAAGGAAGACTGAAGAAGAATTGATGCCTTTGAATTATGGTGTTGATGAAGAATATTGAATATACCATGGACTGCCAGAAGAATGAACAAGATTGTCTTGGAAGAAGTACAGCCAGAATGCTTCTTAGAAGGGAGGATGATGAAGCTTTGTCTTAAGTACACTGGACATGTTATCAAGAGGGACCAGTCCCTGGAGAAGGACATCATGCTTGTTAAAGTAGAGGGTCAGCGAAAAAGAGGAAGACCCTCAATGAGATGGATTGACACAGTGGTTACAACAACAGTGTGCTTAAACATAGCAACGATTCTGAGGATGGCGCAGGACCAGGCAGTGTTTCATTCTGTTGCACATAGGGTCACTATGAGTCAGAACTAACTCAACAGCACCTACCAACAGAGGCAAAAGGTTTGGATTTTATTCTGGACCCAGTGGGACTCCATTGGAGAGAATTAGGTGTGGATAATATAATTTATCTTTTAGAACATGTAGGAGAAAAAGAACAAAAGAAAGCAGAGAAGGAGAAAAGTGTGTTTTGATTAGGGTTAAAACAATAGGAATGGCAGGAAGTGGTTAGATTTGGGATCTGTTTCAAAGATAGACCCAATAGAATTTGCTGATGTATTGGATGTGGATTGTGTAAGAAATAGAGTGATGAAGGACAACTCCTGGATTTTGACCTGAGCATTTCCTGGGATGGGGAAGATTAGAGGAACTGGTTTAAGAGTAAGAAACTACTTTCAGACATGTTAAGGTTGAAATGTTCATTGCATATCCATGTGAAGATATCAAGAAAGCAGTTAACTCTATGAGGCTAGTGGTTTTAGAACAGGCAGCATGCAGATGATGTTTAAAGCCATGAAACTGGATGAGGTCATCTAGGAAAAGTATAGACATGTAAGAGGACCAAGGACCAGGCCCTAGAGCACTATGGTAAGTTCAAGGGATGGAATGTAGGCCCATTGCCATCGAGTCAATTCCGACTCATAGTGACCCTATAGGACAGAGTAGAACTGCCCCATAGGGTTTCCATGGCTAGAATCTTTATGGAACCAGACTGCCACATCCTTCTCTCATGGAGTGACTGGTGGGTTTGAACTGCTGACTGTTCAGTTAGCAGCTGATTGTTTAACTACTATGCCACCAGGGCTCCTTGCACAGTGCTTAGCCCATAGTAAATGCTAAAATGTTTGCCGTTATTGTTTTGGGGGGCTTATTTTTTGGAGGAATCTTCAGCTTCAAGCACATAAAAGGTCAGGTGGGCCCAAACTTCACCATTCTGCTACCTCTTCTTTCTTCAGAGAGCCAGACGACTCCTTGTCAAGGAGTCGTGTTTACTTCCCATCTTACGCCATGTCTTGGGTGTTTCTTCAGGAGATCACCTTGGCATGAGCTAGAATGTGCTGTAACATTGGCTTTGTTACATAAAGTGTTCTAGGTGGAGCAAGATTCTCTAGGGCCTTTTTCATAGAAGCACTGTTGGTTGATGGGTTTGCTAAGATACCTCTGGACACTAGCTGAGAAAAAAATTTCTTTTTAACCAGTACCAATATACAGTAAGGAGTAAAGAGCCATAATGTGATGTTACCACACTTACCCTGATGCCTGTGCCCAACGGCAGATTGTAGGGATGAAGCCTGGGTAAAGATGCCTAAAACATTGCTCCTGAAAACTTCCACAAGACCCTTCGTAAGAGACAAGGAAGGCCCAGCTCTCTGAGTTCACCAGTTTTGAAGTCAGGATTCTCCACAGTTCCCTTATATCTGTGGCCTCTCTTCCTTAGACTCTGTCCTAGAGGTTACCATTACTTTTCATATCAAAAGAGGTGGCCAAATTCTGCTTTTCTCTCACACAATGACAGGAATTGTTAGAATCTTAAAGTGAACTATGTGAACCCTGGATTCAAGTATTAGGTAAAATGTGACTGCCATGGCTTTGTCAATAAAAATCACAGTAAACAAACGAATGAATCAATCCCAGTGTATGCTTTGTTGTTTTCCCTTGAAAGGCTCTGATGCTCCATGTCGTAGCCTGCAGTATAGAAAAAAATATGGAACCAAGGAGTGTGTGGAATATGAGAGAGAAGAGACTGTGGTGAGTCCCTGGACACTGCCTTCAGAAATCCATAAGATTCTTCATGAGAGTCATGATTCCCTTCTACAAGTAAGTATTTTTCCAGTCTTCAGTTTGCCTAGTGGTTCTTCTTTGTTCTTCAGAGTTTTTGTTTTTGTGGGATGTAGACATACTGAAAGATTTTTAGGTCAGTTTGAACTAGTGATTCAAGGCATCTACACTTCTGGCTTAGTACTCCAGAATTTTATCATTAAGAATTCTCCTTAACTTTGTATTTTCTTTTTAACAAAAAAGAAAAAAAAAAGAACAGATTATTGTGGTACGGGTATAAAAATCTGTTCTGTCCATTCTTCACTTCTGGTGCTAAGTATCTAGTTGAATCAAGATTGAGCTCATTGCCAATCTAGATGTGCTGGGGGAACCACAGCCCTGGTTCCCTTCACTTTACCTTCAGTCTGTTGATGGATGAGCAACCCTAGAAACTTTGGAAAGCCAACTTCAGGTGCTAGGACCACAACTTACTATCTTTATCAATATCATAGGGCTTGTCACCATCTGAAGAGGAAGAGCCAGAGCCTTCTGTTGGGGTGAGTGGCATGGACAGCAGGTCTGAGAGCACTGGCAGTATCCTCAGCAAGCTTGACTGGAATGCCATTGAGGAAATGGTGGCTGGAGTGGAGGATAAGAACCTGTCTGTCCACTGGGTCCTGGGCCTGTAAGACCTGGATATCATTCTTTTTCCAAGCAAAGGCTAGCGCTTCAGTGATGTGGTACTGAAAGATTTGTGGATTTAAGGGAAAGGAACAAGGAAGAAAGCAATGTGAATTTGCCATCTGCAGCCATATAATTACCTAGATTAGCCATTTCAAGAGGGAAAATAAACATTTTCAATAATTTTGCCTTCTTGGGGAAAGGGTTGTTTAAATATAGATTTATTATATGTTTTCGTGTTTGATTCATCTTGAGGCATAATAAAAGTTAAGTTCCTTTCAAATCAAGTTTGCATAATATTTGAACTACTTTCAATAAAAATCTTACTTCTTGCCTCCTTCTTTACTACTCCTGAGTTCTGAGGAACAACCTTATATGGGTGAGTCTGATGGCAAAATCCTCTTATTTCATTGAAGAGAAGAAAGTTAAAATCTCACTTGAGAGACTTAATCATGAAACCCATTTTAAAACATCCTAAAATCCATCTGTGTAGGGACCACTTTGCTCTATTTGTTGTTAGTTGCCGTCAATTTGATTCCGATTCACAGCCACTCTAGCTAATCATGCCTCAGTCAGAATAATACCCTCAGACAGCTATACATTCATGGGACTCACCTCATAAGCTTCGCTTCTCTCTTGAGGATCACTCTCTTGCACTGCCTGTAGTCCAGTGCCTGAAAGCAGTTGCCTCACATATAGTTTGTTTCATTTTATAGTTGAGGCAGGAGGGCTAGTCAGGTACTGTTACTCTGTCATAGCTGGAAACATAATTCTCTTCGTTTCAGTAAATTTTAAATCCATACAACGAACCTGAAAATGAGGCAAGATACAGAGGACAGGAATAACAGAAGAGGCCTGACAATCCTAGGAGGTCTCCAACCTCTAGCTTCAATATGATCTCATAGTCTTCAGAAAATGGAGACAATGACAACTTTATACAGTGGGTCTAAAAACAGAGGAAACATCAAATGAGTGTGTTTTAGATCCTGCTGCTGCTAAAAAGGGCTGTAGACGTAATGCCCTCCATGCATGAAATGAAAGAAGCCATTTCCATGTTAGATCTTAAGCACTTACCATGCTTAGGGATATCCCCAGTTACCAAGAGTGTTCCCCAAAGTCTCAAAACTGTCTTATTTTCCTCACATTTTTATTAGAAAATATGTTATACAGCATTTAGTAGAGTATCACGAAACCAAACCCACATCTGAGTATCCTACTTTTTATTCTGGCTGAGTCTGGAATCTATCAGCAGAGGACACTTAAACACAATTTCTGCCAAGATGTTAAGTCCATGGACTTGGGTTAAAAACAATTGACTTCAGCCTTACTCTCTCACTTCAGCACCCCCTGTTTCTAGCCTATAGTACATATACTCAATAAATGGTTGATGGACTAATGACAAGCCATTATGGCTTATACCACTTTCCACATCTCAACAATTCAAATAACAGTGTATACAGTGCTTTCTGTCCTGCTTCGCTTGGACCTTGTTGAGGAAATATGAGAAAAAGAAAGGAAAAATGCACTTACACACAATTGGGCAGAAGTCTCGGTGGTGGCCTTCCAGAATTCTACTTCCTTCATAGCATTGCTTATACACTGACCATTCATGTCTGTTCACCATCTGAACTGTGGCCCTATGCCATTAAGGAGATCCTGATAGAAGTTAATATTTTGATTTTAATGAAAATATTGTACCTGGTGTTAAAAAATTGCCCCAAACAATGTTAAAGTTGCACCTGAAATCCTGGGTAAGAGGTCTAGGGGCTCCAGTGATTAATCTGATCCTGAGTCATGGCACCAGAACTGTCAAAGAAAAAATTGCACTGGACAATGTTAAAACGTGGTAAGGATGAAGTAAAAGAACTGTAATGGTGGGAGAGGGAGAGAGAGTCACCAGAACTGTCTCTCTACACCAACTCCACTGAGACACACTGAGCTTTTAAAAAGAAAGTTGGGGGGCAGGGGGTGCTGGGTGAATGATGTACTGAGGTTGCAATTAGGGCCAGTTTGTTTTTCCTTTTTTATGATAAGGCCACCTGGCTCCTGGGAGTCCCAGGAAGATGTAGAAGGAGAGACAAGGAGAAACTAAATTTATTCTAACAGCCTAAATAAGTCTTGGTCAGTTCCTTGTAATAAGCGCTGCCATTTTCCAGAACATAAAAGGGTGGGAAGATTTCTTTTACAGTGAGTTAACATAAAATTCAACTTTCATCAGTCCTCACTTTTGTTAATGAGAAATGATATTCATTCTTGAACAACCTAGAGGGATTATGAATGTCTTAACCGGGGTGAAACAGGACTTAAGGAATACTCCCTTGAGGATTCTTGTTGTGTCTGCAGAATCAGTTGAACAGTTTTGAGGTGGAGGCACAGGTCAGTTGTTTTAGTGTCAGGTATCTTAAGAGAATGCCTAAAACGAAAAGAGAATTATTAATATAAACAGTTGTATTAATGTCTAAGAGGTTGGTGGGTGAAAATCTTTTGATTATGCAGCCCTGCTCATTGAGTTTCTTCAAGAGCAAATGTAGATGCTCTTGGATGCTGCCCAGTCCTGGTTACCTTTCATAAGGGCATGCATGGCCTGAGCATTTTACCAGACTTAGTGACTCAGAGACAGCGACTTGTCCAGAGAGAAATCCAGCCCAGCACAGTCTGCTGTGGTGATGAGTCCACCGAAGTATATCTCAAGTCACTGGGCCCTAAAAAGCCTACTGTGAGACAAGCTAGAGTCTCCATAAATATTTATGTAGTCAGGTTTCAGTTCTCAGTGATTCCAAGTCAGGAGGGAGGGAGAAAAGTTGGAAATGTTGATTTGGAGAGTTGTTTCCAGATGGTGAAGTAAATAGGAAGTATTGAAAATTGGATAAAGATCGACAGTTTGTGCAAGATGACAGGATCTAGTTCAGTTTGCAGGTAGATAAGAAAACCATAAATTGTAGCTTAAGGTAAAATAGTTAAAAGACAAGGAACAGCACCAATCTGATAGCCCACAAGGGCGTGTTACAGTTTTCTATTGAAATACAAAATTTCTCTCTATGGTCACCACCCTCCTTTTGATAAAAGATAATCTCAAAGCAGAATTATTCATGATCACAAAGTATGACTGGTCACCATTATTTACATTGGTGCACGAGAATGGTAATTTGTCTTATAGGTCTTCTTAAGTTTGCTTTGCTGCAAGTTTTTATAAGGAATCTCAGGGTGATCTTTTAAAAGCCTCTTGAGGCTAGGAAGCCAAGCCAATAGTTTTCCATCAGACTTCACCTGCAGTGCCTATAGATGTGAGTTCATCTCTTGTTGAAGTCCCCAAAATATCATAAGATTCCTGGGCCTACCAGGAAGTGACCTTCCTTACCTGTAAAGCTTGAAATTCTGAAAGCCAGGTACCAAGGCAATTTTCCTGGGACGGCTTTGTAAGCATTGGCTCCATAAAGTCAACTTTGGTTCCTTAAAAGTGTCTGGTCATATCTGATTCTATGTGCATCATTCTCAAATATGGCATTCCAGTGAAAGCTTGGTTATACAACCAATGTTTCCAGTTACGTCCTGTTAACAAGGAGGACAGATTCTTATTGAACCTATGAAAACTACTATAAGAATAAGAATACTCAATACAAGTTTTTGAATTCTGGAAGGTGCAAAACCAAAACCAAACCCATTGCTGTCAAGTCAATTCCTACTCATAGTGATTCTACAGGATAGAGTAGAACTGCCCCATAGTTTCCAAGGAGCACCTGATGGATTCAAAATACCAACCCTTCAGTTAGCCATAGCACTTAACCACTACGCCACCAGGGATTCCTGTGAAAGGTCAGGCTGGGAGAAAAAGATAAATGTTTCATTTCTATTTATAAATGCAAAATTAACTAAATTCTTATGAGTTATAGATAGCTTGAGAGAAAAGGAAAAGACGTTTGTTATATCCAGGAAATTGAACATTAAAGGATCAGCAATATTCTGAACAAAACCCCTATGTAATTATTTCTTAATCTGCTTGATCTTGGGTTAGCACTCTCATGAACCCATCGGCTTCTCTGTTAGAGTTCTGGAAATCCTGATTCATTACAGTGCTATGGTCTCAAAGTTATTTAAGCAATGACATCAGAAGCCCATGCCCAGAGTACCTGGCTTAGTCCTTTTGATGGATCTCTGAGATAGTTTTTTTTTTGTTAAAGATGAAGTATTCTGACCTGTAGCTACTGTAAGTGCTTTCAGGGAAGCATCAGAGTAAATAAAAAATTATTTATAGATGACAAAAGACTTAAAAGATGGCCATGATTAACTTATTACTAATACTTTTTTAAGTGAAAGACATGATGAGAATTCATTACAAAAGTAATGCAATTTAAAAGGAAATTTGGTTGTTTCTGTGGTATGAAATTTTAAATAACTGAAGCTATGGTAACACTATACTGCTGTTATTTAATATTGGGCAAAGCAGCACCAGGACATACCATGGATTAGTGAGAGCATTAACAAATCTCTAGGAACTTTATACAATTTCTGAAATATTTATATTAATGACACTTTACCCATACAAACTTAACCTAAAGAAAGTTAGGCATCTCTCCTGATTTCATAACATTTCCCATGAAACGCATAGCAAATAAACCTAATTATTTCTAGTAACTTTCTCTTTACAAGGTGAAAGAACAAATCCTTTCTGATTTCCCAAGGGCCTGCTGGGAAATCTCAAAAGACAAGTTTTGGGTATAAAAGATATCATTTAGGATTTAATTTTGGGAAGGCAAAATATCAAAAGTTGTCAGGAGGTTTTAACATTTGACTAAATAGGATCACATGTGACTGAGAAATAATATTTGGACACCTATTAGCCAAGGTGACAACGTTCTTTTACAAATAAAAGATTTTAAAAGTAAATATAGAAGGTAACATGATTGTAAAAACCTTAGCACTTTTAAAAGTGAGAAGACATGGTTCTCTTAAACAATCAAGGATATGATAAAGTCAACATAAGCTCAGAAAATTATTCTGATCAGATACAGAATCTTTTCCGTCTAGGCAGACTACTCAGAAAGTAGAGATAACATAATAAAGCAAAGAAGTAAGTCAAGAAAATTTTGTTATTTTAACATAGAGAAAACAAAATTCTAGTTTTGCATTAGTATACTATTTGACACCAAGGATCTTAAAAATGTCTTATAAACTTATCAAATTTTAGCCAACAGTGACTATGATGAATAAAATTCCTTTTTACAAACCTTTACCACTTCCCACATGCACTCAAATTTTGTCCTATAATTTCCTATTTCTCATTCTGGAGTAACCAGTCCTTTTATTTTAGGACAAAATTACTCTTTTCCCTTAACAAAAACACATCCAGCATGCCTGAATACTTACTTAATCTAGCCTACATCCAAGATTTTAAGTTACCAAAATGATCTTTGAAACTGTCTTCAAGCTAACATACTACAAAATATAATTACTGTTGAAATAAATTTTTTGTAAGAATAAATTAACTTTTATTAATTTCTGGGAATATTAGGAATATTCAATATATACATCTACTGAGTTATCTCTAAGCCAATCAAAACACAGCTCCTTGAAGGGATATTTTAATTTAAATTAGTAATACCATCTGTTGTTGTTGTTAGGTGCCATTGAGTAGATTCCAACTCATAGTGACCCCATGAACAACAGAACGAAACATTGCCCAGTCCTGCACCATCCTCACAATCATTGCTATGTTTGAGCCTATCCTTTCAGCCACTGTGTCAATCCATCTCACTGAGGGTCTTCTCTCCTTCGCTGACCTGCTACTTTACTAACCATGATGTCCTCTCCAGGGACTGGACCCTCCTGATAACATGTTCAAAGTATGTGAGATGAAGTCTTGTCATTTGTCTTAGGCTGGGTTCTCTAGAGAAGCAAACCCAGTAAAGCATATAAATATATATAAAGAGAGATTTATATTAAGGAAATGGCTCATGTGGCTGTAGAGGCTGGAACGTCCCCAGTCCATGGGTCAGGCTGGAGGCTTCTCCTGATTCAGAGGGGCTGGAAAACCCAAGATCGGCAGGTCAGAGAGCAGGGTTCTTGCTCACAGGCTGCGAAGACTGATGAATCCCAAAACTGGCAGTCAAGATGGCAGGTAAACTGCTAGCTCAAGTCCCAAGAACAGAGGTCAGACAAACAGGAACCAGCTGCAGGATTCAGAGTGAGCAAAAGTAGATGAGCCTTGCCAGAGAGTCCACTTATATTCAATGGAAGCCACACCCCCAAGGAAACTCCCTTTCAACTAATTGGCTACTCACAGCAGATCCCATCATAGAGCAGATAATATTATATCAGATCTCATCATGGAAGTAATCACATCATTATATGACTGCCAAAGTACATCATAACTGCCAAACCACTGAGAATCATGGCCCAGCCATGCTGACACACAACCTTAATGATCACATCATTTTTGCTTCTAAAGAGCATTTTGGCTGTACTTCTTCCAAGACAGATTTGCTCATTCTTCTGGCAGTCCATGGTATATTCCACATTCTTTGCCAAAATTATAATTCAAAGGAATCAGTTTTTGTTTGGTGTTCCATATTCATTGTCCAGTTTTCGCATGCATATGAGGTGACTGAAAATACCATGGCTTGGGTCAGGTGTACCTTAGTCCTCAGAGTGACATCTTTGCTTTTTAACACTTTAAAGAGGTCTTTTGCAGCAGACTTGCTCAATGCAATATGTCGTTTGATTTCTTGACTGCTGTTCCCACGGGCATTGATTGTAGATCCAAGTAAAATGAAATCCTTGACAACTCAATATTTTCTGTCTATCATGATGTTGCTTATTGGTCCAGTTGTGAGGATTTTTGTTTTCTTTATGTTGAGGTGTAGTCCATACTGAAGGCTGTAGTCTTTGATCTTCATTAGTAAGTGCTTCCAGTCCTCTTGACTTTGAGCAAGCAAGGTTGTGTCATCTGCATATCGCAGGCTGTTAATGAGTCTTCCTCCAATTCTGATGCCTCATTCTTCTTCATATAGTTCAGCTTCTCAGACTGAGTGCTCAGCATACAGATTGAATAAGTGTGGTGAAAGAATACAACCCTGACACACACCATTCCTTATTTTAAATCACACAGTATCCCCTTGTTCTGTTTGAATGACTGCCTCTTGGTCTATGTACAGGTTCCTGATGAGCACAATTAAGCATTCTGGAATTCCCATTCTTTGCAATGTTATCCATAATTTGTTATGATCCACACAGTCAAATGCCTTTACATAGTCAACAAAACACAAGTAAATATCTTTCCAGTATTCTCTTATGTCAGCCAAGGTCCATCTGACATTAGCAATGATATACCTCGTTCCATGTCCTCTTCTGAGTCCAGCTTGAATTTCTGGCAGTTTCCTGTCAATGTACTGCTTCAGCCACTCATCTGTCAGTTTGTCATACTGTGGTGGCTTGTGTGTTGCTGTGATGCTGGAAGCTATGCCACTGGTATTTCTAATACCAGCAAGTTTATCTATGGTGGACAGATTTCAGCAGAGCTTCCAGACTAAGACAGACTAGGAAGAAGGACCTGGCAGT